GCTCCACAATATATCTTCTAGGGTTCTATGTACCAAGAAACAAGGGCTGAAAACTTGTTTGCATTTAAATGACTTGTTGTCGAGCGCAGCGAGATTTAATCTGATTATGGGATATAACTAAAATAACCAGTGTCTAAATCTTTCATTTTAGAGCATTTTGAACAAGTCTGGAAGGTGGATTCGATTTTTTCGGGGGAACCAAGTAATAGAAAGAGTTCTGAGTTCGATAAAAAAATTAAAATATTAAATCGGGTATGGGCGTTAGCTCAACTGACATGTTTTCGGAGGAGTTGATAGTTCTTGCCGATGATCGATAATATTAATAAAGGTTTTTCTAAAATTTTAGACATTGGTCTGACCAGTAACTTGCACTATTTTCCACTCATCAACAGTGATCTCGGGTTGACCATCATGTATCAAAAATGATTTAGGGCATGTGAATTCCAGCCCAGAGGTCTAATTTTCGACCACTTTTTTGCAGCAGCCAAGGTCTCCGGTTTAACTGCGTAGACAAGCGACTTCACATAAACCCCAGAAAGTTTACTTGAATAATAGTCTAGCGTTCCCCATTGACTGTAATATTATGGCTGGACCCAAGACTCCACTCTCCATAGAACACATCTCACAGTGACTTTTTGGGAAGGTATCGGCGACTCGACTTGTAGATTTTCATCACTCAAAAAGCGACATTTTTTTAATAATATACCCATTCAACCAGAAGTGTTGCTTCCACGTTGAACAAAATGTTTTTGTGACAATCGTGCTCGTTGGCCATCTCATTTTGGGCTCCTTCTTGCACGAGTTGGATTTCGTAAGTCTGCAAAGCAAGATCCTTCCTCAAAATATTCTATAAAATTTATGGATATAGCCCCAATTGTTGCGCGCGATGCAGATGAGGATTCCATGGTTGCTTGACTGCTAAACCGATCGAACATTGGACGCAACGTGATCTGCAAATAATGTTGTTCCGTGGCAAGAGTCCCTAAATATTTTCTCCCATATTTCTCGTGATATAATTTCATTTATTGCTAATATTTCAACACCCTTCCCTTCAATACTTACGAAATAATCTCTGTGGGATCTTTTTACTACATTGGACATGCAAAATATGCATGAAATAAAAATTATCTTGGTAACTGGTATTAGTTAATCAACTTCTTGCGATTACAACCACACCTGCTTAAATTTAAGAATTTTTGACTTTTTAATTCATAATTAATTTCCCTCGTGAACAATCACAATATCCGTCTTAAGTTGCCACAGTGGCTGCCAAAAGTATGCGCATGCCAATTAAACGCTTAGAAAACAGTTAATCTCAAACCGGCGTGGCCTTGAATGGCGCATATAAATAATAAATTATATTCTTATGTAACAAAAGAACTAAAAACCACAATAAATAATAAAGATAAAATAAAAATAAAATTCCTTTCAATTATCAACTAGTGGTGGTATAAACACAACATTCTTTTCGGTTATATTTTTGTCGCCTCGCTTTGTTTTATTTTTGTCCTTTTACTGCTTGTTTGGTGTCGCAGCGCTGCCGCTTGCCTCGTGTTACGATGTTGCAAGTTGACCAATTTTGGCGCATTGCGCACACTTGTTGAACTTTTATGCTTTGCGTGTTGGCATATCGATGCCGGAATAAAGATAACATTTTTGTGGCATTAGAAGTTGTTCAAGCTCCGTTCAATACAGACTGAGAGCACAACGTATCGGCAAGTACAAGTTGTATGGCAATAGCAACCGAGAGAGGGAGCTCTAACAAGCTGCGCCAAATCATTAATGCGCATTAACTGACAGTTAATTGGTCAGTTATGTATTTGAATGTGCGTGTTTAGATAAACTCGGTTCACGGTTTCGCTTTTTGTACATTTTCACAAGCGGATAATCTTGGCTAATAAATATATATCACGATAAACTGACAAAGATAGTTTTCGAATGAGGTTCAACTAAGCTTTAGATGTATAGAAATGAAATTAAATATTTTAACAAATTGGTATTGTAGAGAAATTGGATTAGCTACATATATACGTGTATATATGATTTGCAGTTTGTAATCGCTGAAGCGATTTGCGGCCGAGCTCCTTCCACAATTTGTGGTTTGCGTCTTACTTTTTTCCAAGATATGGGGGACCTAAGTTTATACTTAGCTTTTTATGAGGAGATTTTACTTCATATGAGAAATATACTCTACCAATTAGCGGTCACAAAAAAAAAATTAATTTTCAATAATTTTGGTCACAAAAAAAAAATTAATTTTCAATAATTTTGGATGTTGGAACTCGAGCCCTGGTCTGCTTAAATGCTGTAACCATTCGGCTACTGCGAACGCAGGCAATTATATGTATATATATTTTTTGTTTTTATTTAATTTTATTTATTCTATTTCAATTATATTTTATTTTCCTTTATTTTATTCCATTTAATTTAATATTATATTAATTCATTTTAATATTTGTGCATTAAATTTTATTTTATTTTGCGTTATTTAATTAAATTTATTTAATTTTAATTAATTTTTTTCATTGCATATTATTTTGCTTTACTTTATTTCCTTTCATTAAGTTATTTACTGTTGTATTATGTTATTTTATATATTTCTTTTATGTTATTTTATTCCACTTAATTTTTCTTTATTTAATTTAATTTTTTTATTTAATTTTACAATATTTAAAGTATTTTATTTTAATATTTTATTTTAATTTATTTTATTTCTATTCATTTATTTTTTGATTGTTGTTTGATGTTACTTAATTAATTTCACTTATCTTATTTTAGTTTATTTTTTAATATTTTATTTGATTCTAATTTTTTCATTTTATTTTATTTTATTTTATTTTATTTTATTTTAATTTATTTTATATTATTTTATTTGATTTAATTTTTTCTTTTTATTTTATTTTATTTTACTTTCTTTTACTTTATTAAATTTAATTGTAATTTACATCATTTCGTTTTTTGTTATTTGATTTAATTTTTTCAATTTATTTTATTTTGTTGAATGTTATTTTAATTTATATAATTTAATTTAATATGTTATTTAATTTTTTTTGTTTTGTTTTATTTAAGTTAATTTAATTATATTTTATTTAAATTCATTTCATTTAATATAATTTATTTTTTAAATTTTATTTTATTTTATTTTATTTTTATTTTATTTGAATTTTTTCATTTTATTTTATTTCATATCGGTTATTTTATTTTATTTTATTCCATTTTACTTTGTTTTATATTTTTTAATTTTATTTTAATTTACAACATCATTTAGTTTTTTGTTATTTTATTTAATTTTTTCACTTGATATTATTTTATTCTATATAATTTTAATTTAGATAATTTAATTTATTTGTTTTATTTTATATTATTTAAATTTTTTGTTTTATTTTATTTGATTTATTTTATTTCAACTCATTTTTTTAACCTTATTATTTTTTTAAATTTAATTTTATTTTATTTTGTGTTTTGTTACTTATTTGAATTATTTTGTTTTATTTTAATTTATCTTATTTTATTTTATTTCAATTTATTTAATTTTACGGTTTTTAATTATATTTTAAGTTTTTAAATTTTATTTTATTTTTATTTTATTATTGTTTTTTAATTGATTTTAATTAATATTATTTTCTTTTATTATTTTCATTTCATTTTATTTTTATTTCATTTTATTTATTTTATTTTAATCCATTTTACTTTGGATTATTTTATTTTATTTTTATACACTTCATGTCGGTTTTTGTTATTTCATTTCATTTTTTTCTTTTGGTTTATTTTTATTTTTGGTTTTAATTTACTTTTTTATTTTAATTGATTTTGTTTTGTTTTTTTGTGTTGTTCTATTTCATTTTATTTATTCTTTTATTTAGTTTTTCCTTGCAGACTTATGTTATTTTTTTTAATTTTATTTATCTTGTTTTATTTTATTTTATTTTACATTATTTTATTTTAATTTAGCTTTTTTTGTGTTATTTTATTTAATTTGCTTAAATTTATTTTATTTTATTTTGTTCTTTGTCATTATTTTATTTTGCATTATTTATTTTTAATCTATTATTTTATTTTATTTTTATTATTTTATTTTTTATTTTATTTTGTTTTTTCATTTCAAGTTTTTCTTTTTATTTTATTTTATTGTTTGATTTATTGTTTGATTTTATAAGATTTTGTTTTATTCATCTTATTTATAACACCTTACATCACAATAACAACAACAACATATGATTAAAGGCCAACCCCTCCTTTGTTTCTCACTGCCTTTAAAAATATACGTCCGAACATATGAATTTAGAACATTTTTTTTATTTCTCAATGCATTTTTTTCCCCCAAAAAATTGTCTTTAAATGTGAAATAAATATAAATACAAACAATGCAATCAAAATAATCAAGAAAATCGTGTAGATAATTATTTTTTCGCGCAAAGGTGCAGCCCAAATCCAAAATGACATTTATGACCACAAGCATTGCCAAGAACTCAGTCGTGGGGGGAATGAGCGGGAGAAGGCGCCTAGACGCTTAAGGAAAATGTGGAAAATGAGTTGCACATGATTTCGTTGCTTGGAATTTTATTTACTTTTACACGACCGCAACATTTATTTACGTTTGGCCAAATATACCGTGTGTGTGTTGGTCGTATCGATTGTCACAGTCATAAAATTTATTTCTATTTTTTTTCTTCAGAAATCGACCTTCGAGCTTCCTTATTTAGAGATATGTTTGTTTGTACGAGTATGTATGTACTCGTATGTATATATTTACCATACCAAAATATTTCTGAATTTACATTTAATTGTTTGAAGCATGTTGTGAGGCTATCACCTTTGGCTACACCTTTGCATTTCAACTGGAGTTGGTTTCACATACTGCAAGTACTGACTAAGCCATTTTTAAGAGATCTCATTTTTTCGGAGCAGTTATCCGTTAGATTCTGTCTTCTTACTATTAAAACTCATCATATAGGAAGACATTATCTTAATTATTATTATCTTCTTATCATCTCTTCCAGGTATACCAAGTCTTCTTCGTCATGCTTAAATCCGCCAACTCGCCACGTCCCGCTTCGTGGGTGCTGGAAAAATCACTTGACGGCTTCAACTATGAACCCTGGCAGTATTTTGGTCTCAGCGATGCTGATTGCCAACGACGCTACGGCTTGGCTGGCCAAAATGGTAAATATGTTTTCGAAAACGACACAGAAGTGATATGCACAACACAATTTTCAAAAGCGTTACCGCTCGAAAATGGAGAATTACACGTTTCGCTACTGAAAAACCGCCCAGGTGCAATGGATCAAACGGAAGAGTTGATGAATTTCATAACAGCACGTTACGTACGCATACGCCTGCAGGGCATGCACACGACGGCGAATCTGGATAACAGCGTCGATTGGCTATTGGACTCACAATCACTCGAAAAGCGTTCCTTCTACTCACTCAAGCAGATACGCGTAAGTGCGCGTCTCGATTGCCACGGTCATGCCGATAAAACCGTTGAGTTGGCGGAGAAGCGTACCGATGAGTTGGAGTACGCACAGCTCGCCTCAACACTGCAATGTGTCTGTCAGCATAATACCTGCGGCACCGATTGTGGCGAATGCTGTGCGCTCTATCAAGATAAGCCGTTTCGCAACGGCACAACACGTGAGCCAAACGCATGTGAGCTCTGTCAATGCAATGGCCAAGCAGAGGCCTGCATTTACGATGCATTTCTGGAACGCGGCATCTGTCAGCAATGTCAGAACAATACCGCCGGCAATGAATGTGAGTTTTGTACGAGCGGACACTACCGCGATTTTAATGAAAAACTCACTGCACCCTGTCGGCGTTGCGCGTGTGATGGACGCGGCGCAACAGGCACCTGTGATCCGGTGGGTGGCCAATGCCATTGCCGCGAAGGCTTCCAGGGTGTACGCTGTGACGAATGTGCAAGAGGTTATTATGGCGAAGAGTGTCGGCGGTGCGAATGTGATGTGCGTGGCACACTACCAGACACCGAATGCGCTGGTGTATGCAAATGCAAGGCACATGTAGCGGGCGATACTTGTAGTGAATGTCTGCCGGGTTATTATGATCTTAGCGCCGACCAACCAGATGGTTGCGCACCCTGTTGGTGTTCAGGCGTGGGGTTGTCGTGCAGCAGTGCTGCGCTGCAAACACTCGCTTTCGAGACACTGAACGACTGGAAGGTGACCGACATAATGCGCTCCCAAGTGATTGCAGCAACTGTGGATTCTAGCACTAACTATTTGGTTTACAGCGAGGATGAGCAGAGTATAGAGGGCGCCGTTTATTGGCAAGCGCCACAAGGTTATCTCGGCAATCGTCTTACCAGCTACGGCGCACGTCTATCTATACAAGTTAATTGGGTTACAATGCGTGGCGATACATCGGGCAAACCGACTGACGGTCCGGATGTGGTGCTCTTCGGACGTAACGGCTTGAAAATCGCTTATGGCGATACAATTTATACACGAGGATCGACTGCTATCATCAATATAACGCTCGATGAGACGGGTTGGTATCATGTGACGCCAGCTGTGCTTGATAAGAAGACACGTTCTCGACGTACGCAACACCATGGCTCAGCTGTAACGCGCACTCAACTTCTCTCAGTTTTGTCCGCATTAGATAGTCTACTTGTACGCGGCACCTACCACACAGATCAAGTGGAAACTTCATTGGAGCGTGTCATCATTTACTCGGGTGGCACTGAGTTAGGCTCTACAAAGTTGAGCACACGTGTTGAGCAATGTGTCTGTCCCATGGGTTATGCCGGACTCTCTTGTGAGAGCTGCGATTTTGGCTTCATACGTATATGGGAGAATGCGACCGATCATCAGTTGGTCGCCAAGTGTATACCTTGTCCGTGTAATGGTCATTCCAACTCCTGCGATCTACAGAGCGGCGGTTGTGGCAACTGTATGCACAACACTTACGGCGAGCGGTGAGTAAACCTGATATCTATAAATAAATGTATATTTAATTTTGCATCTCGTCTGGTCACCTCAACCTAATTGACTTGACCATAAGGTTGCAGTCTCTACTATTGCATGACAAGTATTTCACCACTCTAAACATACCTGCTTATTCTCACTCTTTTTACTAGTTGCGAGCGCTGCAAAGTTGGTTTCTATGGCAATCCATTGCAAGGCACTGAGCACGACTGCAAACGCTGCGCCTGCCCTCTACTGGTCGATAGCAACAACTTTTCGCCTAGTTGCCAATTGAAAACGTATAGCATCATGGACTTGAACCCGTTATATGGTGTGGTGGAAAATTCCGAATACATTTGCACACAGTGCCCGCCTGGCTACACTGGTGACCATTGTGAGATGTGCGATGACGGTTACTATGGCAATCCAACGGAAGTGGGCTCACAGTGTCGTCCGTGCGATTGCGAGGGTGGACCATGTGATGTTTTCACAGGACAGTGCATCGTTTGCCAGTAAGTGTAGATTAATTGAATTGATTTTATTTTGATTATTTGATTTCACTTCTTTAAATTTAACTTCATTTTATTTAAAAAACCTAATTTATTTTCAGTTTATTTATTATTTTTAAATTAATTTATTTCTATTATTTGTACATTGATTTAATTTATTTTAATTGAAATGTGCTTTTTAGATATTTGATACAACAACAAGTTGTTTGTTGTTGTTTTTTATCTATTACTTAAACTATTAAGGTTAATTAAATTTATTTTAATTAATCTTACAATTTTTTCCCCTTATTTTGTTTGATTTCACTTCACAATGGGTTTATTTTAATTTCTTTTATTTTCTCAGGTTTATTTAATTTTGTATTTCATTTTTGTTTCATATTTTTATTTTATTTTGTTTATCTTTTAATTATTCGATTTTATTTTATTCTATTTTTTTTATTTATTTTATTTTGTTTCATTTTATTTTATTCTAATATTTTATTTTCTTATTCGTCTTACTTTTTTATAATATTGTACTTTACTTTAAATTGCTTATCTAAAATGTTTAATGATTTAATATTAATAATTAAATTTATTATAATACAATGTCATTGTATTTTTTTTTTTGCTTCATTTAATTTTATTTTTCGCTTCATTTTATTCATTATATTATTTTAATGTAATTTTCTTTATTTTTTAAGTTGATTGTTTTAGTACATTTATTTATTTTTTTTTTTTACTTTGATTCAATTTGTTTTTTAATTCATTTTTATTCGTTTTATTTCTCTTTTGCGCGATAGCTTTTTGCCATTGTGATGGTAATATCATTACGCCTCTCTCATAGAAACCCTTGTCTCTCTTGGCAAAAAGTAAGGACAATCGATTTTCTCAGGCTTCCCTTGAGGCTTTCAATTACTCACTAGCTTTATCCTTCGCATAGACAGGAAAAGACGGTAATCCACACTATAAGGTGGATGTATAGAAACATCTCAACCAAACCCTCTCAGTTTTTGGCGAGTCACTATTGCTTTGTGTGGTCTTTCGATGTCCAAATGCATGCTTCTTTCAAACGGTCCAATTACTGA